ATGAGGGGCTAAAGTTCCTGCTGCTGTGGCTCCTGGGTTGGGACCCCCCGGGCTGCCAGTAGACTAGATTTTCCTCCATGCAGCCGGGGGAAAATCTCAATGCAGTGTGGTTACCCAGGCCACAGATGTGTTCTGACTGGTTATCAAGAGGGACTGTAATGTGGACTTGGCTGTTTGGATTAAAATGCATTGCAGGCTCCAGGAACAAGCACACATCAGTAGTAAAGGCAGTTTAAACCTTTGGGGACAGCCCTATGTTTAGATTACATTAATTCATAAATATTATACTAAATACCACTTAAATTGGACTTAAATGACTTCAAAGATAACGCATTATAATATGGCTATCCAGAGAGCACTAGTCTTTATGTCTCCCACTAACTCAGTCTTTGCTGCCTTTTACCCTGCTAGACAAGACCAAAGTTGTGAATGGATTGCGGGCTTCCTCATGTGTGATCCGATGTGTGTGTCAGCAGTCATGGATATCTGTGTGCGTGTATCTATTTTCAGTCACTGGCTCTGTTTGTTCTCCAGGAAATAAAAAGAAGAGAAATGAATAAAATGCAGGAGAAGGGAGGAATTAGACTAATAGAGGTGACCTGCTCCCTTTTTCAAGGGAGAAAAATTCTCTAGGAAGGGGCAAAGTTGGTTCTGAGCTCACTTCTGCAGCTACCCCGGGAGTTTGCCTCTCTCCTCTTAAATCAAGAGTACAATGTCTTTCTCTTTGGAGCCTGGAGAAACAATCTTTCTCAAAGTGCTTCTAATGGGGAAAAAGAAGACTCAGAGTTAGCCACGAGAGTTTGCATTAAACTGGGTTTTCTTCTTTGGGTGTTGTTTCCTCAAATTGTAATTCTGGTCTTTTTTCCACCCCTTTTCCCCTCAGCCTAGCACCCAGATCTCCCCCTTCCCAATTGCTTTCTGGTCTCCAGGGGGTAAGTTTACCTTTACAGTAATTACCCCAGTCCACAACTGCTATTTGCTGCCTCCCCAGCCCAACAGCCTTTCCCTGATACGGCTGGGTTTGCTCCACAACACCCACCCACTCCCTCCTCCACAGACTCCCAATTTGACTGGAGTAATTGCCTTTTAAGGTTCACTCTACGCATGGCAGGTATTCCATTAACCCTTAGAATTCCTCCCTTCTTTAGTTACCTGAAATGGCAGGTGGCCAACAAATGGATATTCACCTGAAATCGCATGCATTTAATTTAATTTATACTTATTTTTCTTTCTTTTTTTGTTTTGTTTAACCAATAACATACATATACCATCCACACTGGAGGCCACAATCCTGTGATGTCTCTCAATTTTGTCCCAGTATGATTCATTAGAAGTTAGAAATTCAAGAAAGGCAGAGAAAGAGCCACAAATATGCCCTGAGACCAGGCTTAACAAAGGCATGTTTCTATCCCTAGCCTCATGTTGTCAATTTAGAGTTGGGGAAATTTAGAAACCAAACACAACCCTCATTCTTCAAGCCTCATCATGCTTTTTGACTTAACAGTAATTAATCACCAATGGCAAGCGAGTAATTTTTTAAGGTGGCTGGAGGCTTATTTTATCAAGATTAGCTAATAAATCAGGCTGTATCACTGAAGGAGGGGTTCAAACTCTTCTAGGACTGAATAAAACAGACCTTGGAAACTGTCTCATTTATTTAGCTCTCCTGGAGCTTCCAGGCACCGTTAGGGGTATGGTGGCCCAACCTTGCCTATAAAATCCGAGGGAAGGAGAGGCAGGAAGTTTCATGGGAAAAAATACAAGCTCAGGCTCTGAAGGGTGAGCTGCGACAACGAGGTACCCAGCATGCCGGGCCAACGGGCCTGCCTGCCACGGGCTGAGTCAGTTTAGGAGAATAATTATTTAAAAAATTAAGTTTTGCTTGTCCTAGGAATCCTAGCCAGATATGTGTATGTATATATATATATATATATATATATATATATATATATATGACAT